CCATCTGATGCAGCATGGGTGGGGGGGGGGGGGAAAAAGCCTGCATGTATGCTTGACTTCCAGCATCATAAAACAACTTGCACATCCCTTCTATTAAGACAAAACCAGCACATCAGAGATATAAAAGTAGGCCGCCTGCTCATACCTTTGTTGGCATTCCTCTTGCTGCACCCTGGGGGTTCACTTAAACTTTAGCCTTCAACCTAAGAATGTACAGCACGCCAGAGTTTACACACCACGCATTACATGCCCTGTGTGATGGAAGAAGCATATGAAAGCTTTAAAAGTTGCACATTTGCCTACAGCTGAACCTTTTATTATTTTAATACATGTGTTCCTGCTCAAAGGAACAACACTGTCCCTGGTAATAAAGGTGAGTGCTGGCTTGGTCTTGTATTGTCAAATTTATTTTTTTTAATTGAAAACCACAAACCTCTGCCAGTACTCTATTATTCACTATACACTGTTGAATTATTATATGGAGATTTTAATTTTAAATCTGTATATGATGATGAAAAAGTAGTGAATAAGGTGGTGTTGGGGCATATAATTGGTCTGTGTGGTGCTTATGAAATGACATTTCAACCTCACAGTGATAAGTGCAGGTTCCTGCTTTCACATCAGAAGCTTATTTTTGTAGCTTTTATATGCAACAGGTGTTCTTAAAATTGTTGACATCTAGTTCAAGACTTTGCAAATTGTCAGGTTTTTTTTTTCCATGCCTGTCTGGATGTGTGCGTGTTCCATGATTTATTGGAATATTTTATACTGTTGCTAAGCAAAATACTTCCTATATAAACCATTTAAAGTAAAGCTCAACACAGATTTTTTTTTATAAAGTGAGGAAGGTTAGATTCTCATTCAGGTTTTTATTGCTGTCTGTGGTTCCATTAGCGAGACTTCCCCTCACTTGTCCCAGAGGCACAAGAGGAAATCTCCCCAAAGTGATGGAAGTCTTGCCTTTGGCAGCTGTCACCACAACAGGTGTCTCCTATTGTCCTAACTGAGATCTATTGACAGCAGTCACCAGGACGAATGGAGGGAGAGGATTTTCACAGGCACAAAGCAACACATCTGACATTTTCTAACCCTTCTCAGCTGTATCCAAACTAGAAAAAAAGTTTTGTTGGAATTCTACATTAAAATTACCGAGCACTAGAGATGGGAAGTTTGGATCGTAGAAATGAATCGATTCGATTCATGAATCGGTTCATTTGAATGAATCGATTCATGAATTGAATTATCGGTTCACTTGCTGAGTCGGCTGACAAGCAAGTGAACCAAAGCTCAGGAACTGTCTGAACCTTCATAAAAGATCAGAATCAGAAGACTGATTCAGACAAGAGGGGCAGCTCCTGGGGAATTTTCCTGTGATCAGTGCCTTGTCTCAGATGTGACAAGTTTGGTTTTATGTCGGACCAGCCATTCTATCAGATCAGCCACGATCAGCTGTGACAGTGTGTATCTGGGCATGCCCACCGCATTCTGATGAGCTGATGTCACATTGGTAGCAGTCAGATTTGACCCTAGTGTTTAGAGCGCAGGTACTGCGCCCACAGTACTAAAATCGCATCATTATTCCCGCCCATGTGCTGTAAAGACTATGAGCAAATCTGACCACTTGCCATGTTAGCTGTGACATCACCTTATCAGAATGTGGAGCGCATGCGCAGTAACACGCTTTTCACTGTCGCAGCTGATCGCGCGTCGCCAGAAGTGACAACATTGGCTGATGTGATGGAATGGCCGGTCTGACATAAAAGCAACCATGTGACCGCTCTGAGCCAAGGCACTGATCAGTGTTTTTTCCAGGAGCTGCCCCCTTTGTTCTTCTCATTCGGATCTTTTTATGAAGGTTCAGACAGCTCCTGAGCTTCGGTTCACTTGTCAGCCAACTCAGCAAGTGAACCAATTAATTTCAAGATCCAAACCTGCCATCTCTGCCGAGCACTATGGATAATTCACCATCCAATAGTCTTTAAATCTTGAAAGATGGTTGTGAATAGTTCCTCATTAACGTAACTCTCTGAAGGTGAACATGAGGCTTCTTGTGCAAGTTACCAATCGGTTACCAATCATTCGTTCGTCTCTCAAAGCACTGACTCTTATTGTAAAATTGTACAAGCACTTTTTTTTGCAATCACACTGGACCACAACGCAGCTATTGCTGTGCCACGCATTCTGGTGCGGGTGATCATGCTGCGGGCGGGGAACGCAGGGAGCTGGACAGTATGCGATTCAGTGCGTTCCAGCAGCTAACGGGCCCTTAAAGTCAATGCTAAATTCCCCTGTGGAACTAGCATGCTGGAGACTCTTACGTAGGGTGCAGCAATCTGGATCTACGGCAGTCTGACACCCACTGTGCATTTATACCTACTGCATGCCAGACTACAATGCTTACTCCTAGAGCAGCGTTGTTGATTGAATTGTCCAGGGGATATGATCCTGCCAGACATTTTGTGAGCTGATAACTTCCTGCTGCAGCACCGAAGTTGGTATTCTTCCCAGCAATCTCAGTAGAATACAAAACACCTTTTCCTATGGTATAGAGGAGGGGGGTCTTTATTCCTGTCATAGGGTAATGGCACTCCTTTTATAGATGCAGTACATTTGAATGAGCATTGTCACCCAAGGACAGGATGTGTTACTGGCAGGATCACCAGGTCCTGAAAAGGATTGCTAAGATGCAATATATTACATTCTGGTCTTAGTTTTATATTTCCTTTAAGTCAGAAGAGCATCACCTTGTCGTGTTCCCTTTATACTGAAGTTGTAAATAAAGAGCTGTTTTTGGAAATCAGATGTGCCGCATTCTGTCATCTGAGGGATCCCAACATGAAATAAGTTATTTCAGGGAGGTGCCCTTCTCATTTCAGGGAGGTGCCCTTTGTTAACCCTCCCCCTCTCCGCAGGGAGGGGGGTGTGCAACAACAAGGAAAAGAGCACCCCCCTGAATTGATGGCAGATAGCAAAGAAGCTAATGCTTCCTTTGCTTTCTGCTGTTTTTTTTTATTCTGACAGCTGCTGCTGTCAGGACAAAAAAAAATAAAAAAACGGCATAGGAATTAATAACTAGATTCCTATTGGCTATTTCAATTTGCAGTAGCCAGTAGCAAGCTGGCTATTGCACCCGGCCTCTGCTGCTGTCAGTCAGCAGAGGTGGGCCTGGTGGAGAACTTCAGGTTCACCTCTGCTGATAGACAGCAGCAGTGGCTGGGTGCAATTGCTACTTGGCTATTGCAAATTTAAATAGCCAATAGCAATCTAACTATTAGTCCCTAATGGGGGTTTTTTTCTGACTGACAGCGGCCCGATGTCAGGAGAGAAAAAAAACCAGACAGCATGGAAAGGTTTACTCTGCTAGATAGAACAGAGTAAACCTTTCCGGGAGAAAATGTTTCTCTCCTGCGTCGTCGGGAGTTGCTATCTAATAGCGGGAGACTCCCGGAACATCAGAGAGAGTTGAGGTGACTGTCATCTCATTGTGGAGTACAAAGGGGAGCACTGGCTTGCAATGTTCTATGGTTTGAGCAGAGCAGTCTTGTATATACAATATTGACATTTCAGCCATGTATTTATCTGTTTTCCTGCAGTTCAGCTTTAACGATGATTGCCCGGCACATAGGACACTCCATTCATTTTGAAGATACTTGTTTATTAATCGGAAGGTCTTTGAAATGAAATAAAATGCTTTAGCTGTAATTAGGGGTTGTTGGTGTGCGGTTTGCCCACTTATTAAACAGATTAAATGGTTTTCAGGTTGTCGATGCTTTTATGATTACAAGAAAGATCAAACTGCAGCAAGGCTAAAAGATTTTGCTAGATCAATGCCACCGTGTGTAATGAAGGGGAAGACATGATTGCTGGGATTTCGGCTTGTGCTGATAGAATTCCTGGGTATTTGTGCCTTCGTGAGAAATGACTAGGATTCATTCAATGCAGAAAGTGGAACATTTCCCATGTGTGATGATCAGTGAGTGACCTGCCCAGGCAAGCGCTGTCTATAGTGTAATGAAACTGTCTTCTATGATGGGAAGTTGCAGTGTCCTTGGTAACTTAATGTGATTTTATCTCTGGTGATAGCAGCAGTCTGGGGGAGAAGGTGTAGTGCAAGCACTCCCTGACCTTCTGCTGCTAGGTACATATGTATGCGGAATTACATTTAATTCCTACCTGCTTGTAGTTATGATCACGTAGAGAAATGCACATTTGCTTGCAGTTGTGGGAGGCTTGGCATTGGACCGTGTATTTTTAATGCTTTATCCAGCCTTTGCAGTTCCATATCATTGATTTGGCTTTTAGAGTGTGTTAAAGTGGATCTGCAGCTTATGAGTTCTTACCTACAATGTTATTCTGGTACAGTAGGGGGTAGTCCTAGCAATACCAGTTAGCTCTTTTTTTTGTTTTTGTTTTTTTTAAGCCAGTTTCAAATAACAGGCACAGGGACTGGATGTGATTAATGGCCAACTCTGTTAAAAATTAATAATTGGTATTACTGAGCAGTCCAAATACTTGTGACTCTGGGGTGCTGATGGCGAGGGCTCCACACTGTGCAATCTAACTGCGCTATTTCTACCAGGAGGCAACATAATTAGTTTGTCTGATGTAACACGTTTTTACAGAAATCTCAGTTCACTTTCCCAGGAGCATCACTGCTGCTTCCCCTATGGACAGATGAAGGAAGCTTATAGTGACATGTCTTGCTACATGTATCCCCTGACCCAAATAATTGTTTGCATGTGGAAATATTAGGCAGATGGGCCACCTTTTACATGTCTGCATTTTCCTTGTTTCTCTTATACAGGGTTAATGGGTTTACATTTCATGGTACCATTCATTCTGAAGGCTCCTGAGTAGCAAACCTAGTTGGTTGTGCTTGAGCGGCTTTTGTTTCAGTGATTGATCTTTCTTGCAGGATAGATGGGTTGGCCTGTAATGAGAAATTGTGCTGTTAGATAATGTTCAGACATGAGCAATAACTTGTCTCTTTTCTCTCACAGGAGTCAAATGTTCTTATTGCTGCTAACAGCCAGGGCACAATCAAGGTAAGCCTCACCATTAACCTCTGTTTAAACCACCTCAGGCACTGTGTACACTTTAATCTCTACATTCACAATGCACCCATCCTTGCTGAATATGTACGTAGCTGTTTATAATAGCACATTACTTGTGATCTTATAGGTTGCTCTTTATTAGAGACGAGCAAATCAATTTGCCAATCTCCTGTTTTCTTTGTAGGTTTTTGGTTCATCTGAAACTTGTCTAATGTGCATAGAATGATGCAGTTCATTAATTTCTGATTGTGGATTGATGAACGGAGATTTCTCCACAGATTGCAAATAACTGAGATTTACACATTCTGCAGAATCAAAAATCTGCACTCTGATAAAGAAAACTTTAGAATTGCAGAAATTGCAATTCGCCTGCTTCACAAATTGACTTGCTCAGGTCATTAATATGCAAAGGGGTTTTCCCATAGTGTTCCATGAAGGACTAAAAGACGACTCCAGAATGAGTGATCTGTGCCCAAGAGACTTCACTTGTCCACGGCAATCCCCCTCAAACAGCGAGAATGTAATCAGTATAGGGATTAGGAGATGGCAGTGGCACACCTAGGTATAATTTAAGCGCTTTAGATTTTCCTTTTATTGTTTGTTCTTGGTAAGTGTTATAGGTACTTGACCATTGCACACTTTATGTGATAGAAACCGTCCCTGAATTGCAGGACATTTTTTAAGGCCTGTGCCTGGGAATGTCCTTAATTTTTAGATGTGAACCAGGAATCTCTATCTGTGCTTTCTAGATTCAAGTCTGCCTCATCATATTCAGTTGGCTTCCTGAGTTTTGTGTGTGCATCTTAGATATAGGGCGGCAACAACTAATCGGTTAAAGCGATTATTATCGACCTTGAGAATAGTTGGCAACTATTCCTATCAGTTAGTTGCTTGGGGAGGGAGGGGGAAAGAGTGAGAGAGAGCGTTTTTTAATGCAACCATTAGATTAGTTAGAAAAAAATAATCAGGCAACTAATTTAATTATGAAAATAATCGTTAGCTGCAGCCTTACTTGGATATATAAGCTGGACAATGGCATGTGCCTAGAAATCATTTTTAAATTATAGCAGCTATGCTTTACCCAAAAACTCAATGACATTTGAAGCAAGTTGGACAGGGTCGGTTGTGTGAAATGATCCCTTGGCATCTCCTCTTCTGCTTTATGATGTGCCTGCAGTGCTTCATCCCAGTCACAATTTTGTGTTGGCCGTCACATCAGCTAGGAATGTTCTTGCCCTCCAGACTTTTGTGAGTAATGAGAGAAGTCAGTTGGAGAACATCTAAACGGAGAGCCTGCAAAGACTTGGCATGCCACTATTACCCTTAACCGATAACACAATTGCTATAATTTGGAGAATACATTTCTCTATTCCCAGTTCTGCTGGCATTTGGCATTGTCACTGTGTACCTTTAATGTCCATTACACACAATGTACTTGCTGCATGCTTACCAGAGACATGTCAAAATAAACATTATTGCAGCCAAATATTGAGTTCAGATCCATTTTATTGGGCTACATGTGGCCTTCATACTCAGTCATGTTTCCCTTATTCAGTTTTAGAATTTTAACTCAACACAGCCCTAAGCCAGGGCACAATGGGATATGCTTCCCTATGCCAATCAGAGCTTTCATTTCATTTTGCCAGGGTTTAAATGTGACACATTTTATGAATCGGAAGATATTGTATTTAATATGTAAATGTATTTTTAATATATCTTCTGTATGTTAACTACTTTAGTGTAGTCTCAGGATATTGTACGACCAATTGAGATA